AGACCTCGTTGCTTCCCAATATTAATCCATCATACAATGCCTCCTTTCTAACAACCTCATTACTCTTACCCACTCTCCCTACAACACTCCATTCTTACCAGTAAGAAACCAAATGGTACTTATCGCTTGGTCCAGGACCTGCGCCTCATTAATGAAGCTGTTGTCCCCATACACCCGGTAGCTCCTAACCCCTATACTCTTTTGTCCCACATTCTCCCTTCCACTATACCTTTTTCACCAACCCCCTTAACCCAACTTGTCAACATTCCTTTGCCTTTACCTGCAGCCCCTCCTAAAACAGTTCTAAAGCAGACACAGCCAAACGTCCTTAACTTCTCTCTCCCTCCAAGACACACTTACCTCATTCCGCTGTTATCTGTTTAATTTCTCCCTTATAACTAAACCATTAAACTCCCCCAGAGTGGTCACAGCAGCCTTTATGCAATGCAGCAGAAGCATCTCCCAACAGATCTTTAACCCTTTACTGACGCTTAGTTAATACAATTTTCGTTTCAGTTAATGTTTAAATCTAGATGGAAACAGTTTCAGAAGGTCAGAGTAAGTTACAAATAATTGGAAAAGAGTTTGGATAGAATGTCTGGCTGTGGCAGAATGTGAAGAAGTTTGAAAGTTACAGAAAGTTGTTTGTGGAAAAGTTAATAAAAAAGAAGTGAATCTTTTCATGGTTAAAAAGAAAAGATTATAGTGTAAAAGGACATCAAGCTGATAGTTCCCCTGATAGCTCATGGGAAAGCGACAAAAAAAAAAAGGCCACTCCTGTTGGCCCCCTAAACTTCCCCCAGTTAGTCAAAGCTGCCTCTAACAAACTCCGACATGCCCTCCTTCAACCCTGTGTCTACCAAACCCTGCCAAACCTTTTTTACTGTACACAGGCAAAAAACAAGGTATAGCAGTCGGAGTCCTGGCTCCCGTTCTATCCCCTATAGCTGGGAGTGATTCAACCCATTTTCTTGTGTGCTTTAAGTCGCTCAGTCGCCACCTGAGATAGATAAAAAATAAAATGCAAAATCCCACACGGTTTATTAACTGTTTAAGCCACAGCATTGGACCCCACCAATCAACCATGAGCTCAAAGAAACACAGCATAATTCAGTGTTCATATAATGGTATATTTTTAACCTCAGGAAAGTACAGAATACATCAGTCCAAACATAACCTGTAGGTCTGGGATGGCCATCCGCATGGAGGCATCCAGGGGCATCATGTCATACATATGCAAGGCCTGGCTATATACTTAGTTAGGGACATATATGATCGGGGGCTTTAACACCTTTGTGGAAAAGTGGAATTAACAGAATGTAAAATTTCCACATACACATTTTCACCAATGCGTAGATATTCTACACTCTTACACCCATCTACTCCCATGTCAGTTTGAGCTTCATGGAGTTAGATTGTATCAAAACAAAGATGTGCTGGCTTATTCATTTGGTTAGAAAGTTTACTGAAAAAAGAACCAAATGGATTTTAAAAAAAAATCCTTGGTAGTATGCTAAAGAAGTCATATTTTTAGCATGCAAAGAGAAAACTTAATTCAGAATGTCAAAATTGTAAAGTTTCATAAAAGCCTCAAACCAATAAATACTCTTTGAAAATTAAAAAAGTCACCCAGATGACTCCCTTAGAAGTCTTCAGGCATGCATGATCTGTAAATTAACAGGCCCCTCTGAGTAAAAACTGTTAAATGATTTTTAATGCCTATGAAAAGACACTTAATATTTTAAAATGCACAGTAAATCAGTGCCTTTTTAAAATTCTATAAAACATCAGGTTCCAAACTTACACAAAATGTATAGCCAAAAAGTCAGGAAAAGAAACAGAAAAACAATTTGAGAATAGAAGTGTTCAAAAGGTTTTGGTGAACTCACGTCTCTTCCCAGCTGCATTGTCCATCCCTGCATGATGAACTTGGGGGAGTGGGGAGTGACAGGAGGAAGGGGTTCTGCACAGTGGGCTGGGTCAGACAGTGTGACAGCATTTGCAAATGAAACAAGAAGAGCTTTGAAGCTATCTTCATTTCTGGAGGCGGCGTGAGCAGCAGCTTTCACACCAGGTTGAATTCTCTCAGGTTGATTTGCAGAATTGTGTCTTTGACGGCAGCGAACACAAAGCGTATGTTCTCTGTGTCTGTGGCACACGTGAAGTGGGAGTAGATGACTTTCTCTTTGTCGGGATTCTGGTCTTGGTAAAGCTTCAGGATAAAGTCTCTAGCAGCTTTGACATCCTGCTTGGGTCCTGGTTACAAGTTCAGAGAAAGAAGAAAAATACCTCATAGTTCTCAGGAGGACAGCAAGATGAAATCGGTATTTTTCTTCTGAGTACTGTATGCTTGTTCTGTCTGTACGAGCCCTGGTGGTGCGATGCTTAAGCATCCAATGCTAACCACAAGGTAAATGGTTTGAGCCTACCAGCCACTCCTCATGAGATAGCTGAGGCAGTCTACTGCCATAGAGATCACAGCCCTAGAAAACCGATGGGACACGTCTACTCTCTCCCACAGGGTTGCTTTCCGTCAGAATCAACTCATCTGTAAGGAGTTTGGCTTTTTGGCTTATACTCATCTGGGATGATTTATCACCCTTGATCTATCTAGGAGAGAGTTTACCTGGGGCATTGTTTTTATTCGGTCTTACTATAAAAATTTTTTTTAAAAACTCACTGCCATCAAGTCAATGCCAACTCAGAGCAACCCTATTGGGTAGGGTAGGACTGCCCCTGTGAGTTTCCACGACTAGAGTAGGAAGTCCTGTCTTCCTCTTGTGGAGCCGCTGGTGGTTTCAAATTGCCAGCCTGGCAGTTAGCAGGCTGCTCATATGTAACTACTACGCCACCAGGGATCTTTTGTGTCTCATTAGGAATCCACAAAATAATATCTTTACATATCCACTGCTACTTGAGAGGAAGGAGTCCCTTGGTTACGTGTTGGGCTGCTAACTGCAAGGTCAGTAGTTTGAAACCATCAGCTGATCCACAGGAGAAAGATGGGACTTTCTACGCCTATAAAGAGTTACAGTCTGGGAAACCCACGGGGCAGTTCTACCCATCCTGTGGGTACACCTATGAGTTGGCATCAACTGGATGGCAATGAGTTTGGCTTTTGGTTTGGTATTTTAAAATTATACTTCAAAACAATTTGTTTAAAAGTAGGAACAATGTAACTTCCTGATTTGGACTACTTTTGAAGAGATGGACAGAGTGGACTGGGAAAAGGGAGAATATGGGAACTAACAGTAGTCAGCACCAGATCTCGTGTTAAAGCTTGGGGTTCATTGCTGTAATGCTGATGAGGGCACCAACTCTTCTGCTGTTGATAGGGGTGTGGTGTCTGCCCGACGTTAGGTTAGGAGACGTCACACTTGTGCCTGTACTTAACAAGTGCCAGACACCCTGACTGGAGCTGGGAAGTCAAACACTAATCAGGCGAAGTCTGTGCTCAGCTGAGCAAATGGACAATACTGCACAGCGTCATGAGCCCAGCACGTGGTAGGCATAATGCCAAAGAGGTCAGAAAGGCTTCCCAAAGAAGAAGCCTCCAGGGACTAGTGGATGATTACTGGTTGCCCCATGTTTTAAGCTGATACTCGCAACACTTGAGTTCACTGCAATAACAACAGAAGAAGCACGAGGATGAGCAGGGCTTCAAAGTTCAAACCCCTGATGTCCAAGGGGCAACCATAAATAATGCACAGACTTTGGATTGCACTGGGAGTTGGCACCCCTAGTCCCCAGGTTGTTCAAGGATCAAGTGAACAGACTTACCTGTGTATTCTGGGAAATAGCTAATTAAATGAGAGTACATGATTTTCTCCTCCAGAAGATCCTTCTTGTTTAAGAATAAAATCACAGAGGAGTTCAGAAACCAGGGGTAGGTGATAATGGTCTTAAATAAGGCTTTGCTCTCTTCCATGCGGTTCTAAGGAAGAAACAAAGGGCTTAGCACAAACTAGAAAGAAAAGCAGTTCTCCGGAAGCAATAGCCAAATCAGTGGTTTCATGTGCTCCTTACTGAAGCGAGTGTGCACAAGGCCCCTGCTTCGATTTCCTCCCCATTTCCTTCTGCTTTCCATCTAGCTCACAATCATCACACAAGGAAAGCTTTTGTGTAACTTGGAAAAAGAAGGCTTGCACCCACATTTGACTAAAGTTTCCTGTGTCCTGTACATATTGGAATTGACACTGAGGCAATTGGAAGCTTCAGATCTGAGAGCCCCACGTTAGCTGTGGGCCTTCAGGCTGCAGATTAGGGCTCCGGTGATGCTAAGAGACAGGAAAGCTGCCTCCAGCAGGGAGTGCCACACACAGGCAAGGAGGCCAACTAATGCTACTGGGCACCTGTTCTGTGCCAGGGTTTACCTGCACTCTATTGGGGGAAGATTAACCAAAAAACAAACTCAAGGCCATCCAGTCATTGCTGATTCAGAGTGACCCCCACCCTTGTGGGTTTCAGTCTTTCTCCCACGGAGCTGCTGGTGGCTTTGAACTGCCAAGCACGCAGATTGCAGCTCAACATACAACTACTGCAAACTATTTATTACCATTGTTAAACTACCTGGGGGAAGAGTAACCCCATTTTGATGGATGAGAAGACTGTGGTTCAGGAAATTTAAAACTTACAAGTTCATACAATAGTGGGATCCAATGAAGATTATGTAGAAGGACAGTAATCATGTCTAAGCATTACCAGACCTTGGCTAGAAAATGCTCCTAATTTGTGAGGAAGGAGCCCTGGTGGGACTGCAGGGTGGCCATTGGGCTGCTGACCACAAGGGTGGCTGGTCAAACCCACCAGTCACTCAGAGGGAGAAAGATGAGCTGTCTGTTGCTGCAAAGACACGCAGTCTCAGAAATCCTAAGCAGGGCAGGTTGGGGTCAGAATTGACTTGATGGCTATAAGTTTAATTTATGGAGAGCAGACAGGACACATACTAGTAAGCTTATCTGGTGACAGTAATTGTATTTCAAAGCTCAGCACACTCACTCCAGAGGGATGGGTCATTAATCTTGATATCTGCCCCTCACTTATTATCCAATATTTCACAGACATGACAATAGTAAAAAAATCTGTCCAGCCATTTGAGGCATGAGCAATTTGTCTAGCAAGTGATGCTAAGATGTTTAAGTCTCTATGCCAACTTGGCTGGCTCAGGATTCTCAGTGATTTGGCAGTTATTTAATGATGTAGCTAACCTCCATTTTTGCATAATACAGATTTTCGCAAATTGGCCTGGTCTGTGGAACCCAACTAAATGCAATAAACAAAGACTGATTATTTCTTACACTCCCACACATCCTGGCTCATTTTGCTTCTCCATACATTTTAAGGAATAAGGCTAGAACTTATTATAAAGAGGCAACTTCTCTCCCTTATTTTAAAGCTGCTTTAGCATTTACCATGCAGGTTGGCAAGTGCATCTGACATGGATCCACAACCAGGAGGGCAACTTCGGGGGTGACAGCCACTTAATTGTTCTCAGCACTCCCTTGTGATTTTTATGAGAGGAGAAAATATTTCGAAGCATATCAGACTGAGGTACTGGTCCCTCGTGCACTGAGAAATGTCACATGTCACAAAGTAATTCCTGAGGCAAAGTTAGAGCTAAGGTTTCCACACTGATAATTGGATGCCTTTGCTTTTTAGAAACCTTCCCAGTTGGGAGAGGTGGGTGGCAGCCAAAATTTTGGCTCTTTGCACAGTGACACAAGCAAATGGGCTAATCCCCCACGAATTAGCTAATGTAGCTGCTCCTCAGAGGAAAGTCTGCTCTCAAAGAACACGAGGTACAGTTTGTTCACCGCCACTGCCTGAGCCCCGGACAGAGCCTTCCTTGATGTACTTGTGTGCCCTAGAGACAGTTTTAGAAACATACAAGTCTAAGAGGTCACGTGTATGTTTTATGGAACAGATGGCCAGGACCTTGCTGCCTCACCAGAAAGCACCCCAGTGTCTCAACCAAGGGCCTGCCCGCTCATCTCCAGGCAGATGCAGGCTCTGCAGGGGACAGAGCGGAGATGGGGATGCAGGTCAGAGCCAGGGAACCCCTCCTGAGGGAGGTGACTCAGACTGCTATTGAGTTGATTCTGACACACAGCAACCCGACAGGACAGAGGAGAAACGCTCCATAGACTTTCCAAGGCTGTCTGGCCACGTATGGCCATGCCTTACTCCCTAGGAGGAGCCGGTGGTTTGAAGCCACTGGCCTTTGGGTGAGTAGCCCGGTGCTTAACCCACTGCACTACCAGATGCAGTCCCCAGTGGCCTCCAGAACAGATCTGGGCCTCAGTACCATTCCTCATGTGAGAGCCACTTTTGTTGTTAGGTGGGGTGCTGACTCGTGGTGCCCCTGCCCTAGAGGGGTTTCTTGGCTATCATGTTTACAGACACAGATTGCCAGGCCCTTTCTTCCACAGTACTGCCAGTATTTAGGTTCCCCGGTGAGCACAAACTGTGCCACAAAGGGACACTGGCAGTGATCAAGGCTCTAAATGGGAAAGGCAAAAAGCCTGGAAGCTGCGCAAAGATACCCCGACCACAAACCAGTAAGCCTGAACCTCTTGTGTGGATCTACATGATATTAATTAAAAGGTCCCTAAGGGATTCCGAAGAGCCCTGGTGGCATTGAGGTTACACGTTGTACTGCTAACCTAAAGGTCAGCAGTTTGAAACCACTCTGTGGAAGAAGGATGGGGCTTTCTGCCCCTGTGAAGAGTTACAATCTCAAACTCACAGGGGCAGTTCTACCCTGTCCTATAAGGTTGCTAAGAGTCAGCATCGACTTGCTGGCAGTGAGTCTGGTTCTTGGTTGGAATGGATTCCCTCAGGCAGCCAGGGGTGACAGTTACTTCTTTGAAGCGGTTTTCCCCCACAGCAGCACATAAGAACCACCTGATGGCGCTGAGGGTGAGACGATTGTCAGGTCAGCTATTCAAACCCTGCAGCTACTCTGAGAGAAAGGTGATTGAGTCTTGGAAACCTTACAGAGGGTTGCCAGAAGGGTTGCCAAGCCTAGGGCTAGACTTGAGGACAGTGGGTTTGGCTTTGGTTTGAGGGAGCATCTGAAAAGTCTCATGCCCAGGTCACACCTATGTGGGAGTTACATAATCTGGTATCAGTTTGAGAGGATTAAGAGTGAAGAGGTGGAGTCTAGTCTGTCAGTCGGATCATAGCCAATGAGGCCTCTATGTGGACATGGCCTTCTCCTAAGAATTCTGGGAACTCTTAGATTTCCTCCTTGGAGGCAAGAGTTTCTCTCATTGCTCATTTCCTGAGAGACATCCCTGAGGGGAAGCCACATGGACCTACCCTGATGCAGCCCTGGGAACCGGAGGAGCCACATGGAGACCCATGTCAGCACTGAGATGCTTACAACGCCACTGTATCCAGAAGATTTCAAACCTACTGGTCTGTGATCCTGCATTCGGCATCATTACATGTATTTCGTGAGTCTGAAGAGGACTTTATAGATGGGTATCGGACATATGGGCTAGTACTGAACTTAAGGACTTGATCTGGACTGGGACGTTTTCTCAATATTCAATTGCTCTTATATATAAACCTCGTTCTTATATGCATATGAATGTCTATGAATTTGTTTCTACTTCTGATTAAATCAGAACCCTTTGGATTGGGCCCTCACAGCCCAAAACCAGACTCACTGCCATCAAGTCCATTGGGACTCCTCGCAACCCTACGTGACAGTAGAACAGCCCCTGCAGGTTTCCGAGACTGTCACTAATTCTTTACAGGAGTAGAAAGCCCCGTCTTTGTCACCCAGGCCCGGTACCTTTTCATTTGACTATGCTGCTAGTTCAAATACTTACGCTTTGGCAAGACTACTTAACCCAAGGACTGGACTCTGTTGCCCTTGCCGTGTGGTCTCCTGGAGGCTGCAGATAGAAACCTCCAGCTGTTACAGCACACTGTACTACTCCCCGCACAGCCTACCTCATTGTCACACTCAGCCAAGACCTGGTCATATTCACTCAAAGCAACCAAGAAAATGATGGAAGTGACTTTTTCAAAGCAGTGGATCCATTTCCGTCTTTCAGATCGCTGGCCACCAACGTCCACTATCCTGTTGAATAGAAACACAGGCGATCACTCCAATGTCGGGACACATGACAATGGGGAATGGGAGGCTGTGGATCATTAGTCCATGGAAGTGAGGGCCTGAGTCATATTTAAGAGTGAAGAAGGAGCCTGCGATACAAACACCTGAGGGGCACTGCTTTAAGCAATGGGGAATCCCTGGGTATTTCCTAGTAAGGAGCCACAGAATGCAAATGGCCGTGGGAAGGGCCTGGGGAGAGACTGGCTGGGAAGCAGTCCAGGCAGAACACACAACATCCTTGGTGTTTTGCTCCAATCACCATGGGATCCAGGACACTAAGCACAAGAGGAGCGGAAAGCCGCGAGGTCTCACAGGTCCTCCAGCTTTCTCCTGGCCCAGGGCCTGTGCTTGCTTCCATCATGAGACAGTGCCTCCCCTCTTCCTACAGTACTGCAGCTTTGTTCAACAGGAAACCCCACAGCTGTTCTCTGCGTCTCTGGAAAGACGGAATACCGTGGGTGGTTCACAGGGCTGACGTGCCTGGACACCAATGGTAAGGTTAGAAGTTCAAGTCCACCCAGAGATGCCTAAGGGAAAAGGCCTGGAACTCCACTTCCAAAAGTATCGTCATGGAGAACCCAATGGAACACAGTTCCTGCTTTGACACGGGGGAGGGGGAGGGGAGGTGTCATCCATAAGTTGGGATCGACTCTATGGCAACTCATTTCTTTGGAAAGATATGAGAGGTTTGTAACCCAGAGGTCACAAGCTTAGCTATCCAGTGTATCAGACAGCTCATATGTGAATGAGTCGTGGGGGGGCGGGGAGGGAGGACTGCGACTCTTGGCACGGATAATCAAGAGGCTGCACCAGAGGGCTCCTCCATCCCACCCAGTTTTTGAGTTGCACTTGAGGTCTAGCAGGGTGTGCAGACCAGGCCTGGACTCTCGTTGCTCAAATAGAAGAGGGTAAGTGAGAATCATTGCTAGGAGGAGCAAGGGAAGTGGGGCACAAAACCTACTGTGAAGTCTGCAGTCCCATACTTGGAAGTGCACGTGTTCACCCACCTCTGAGTGGTCTCAACAGATGCTCTATACAGATAATTAGCCATATGCACACTACCTGAGCTCACCGCCATAGCAAAAAGTTGGAATAAAGCTGGGCCTGGGCCCACATAGTTAAGACCCATGTGGTTCAAGGGTCAACTCTATAATCTTACATGATCTTAATATGCACGTCTGTATCCAGTTTTTGCTGTTTCATTTTGCTTAAGAGGACAAATCTTGGAGAAGGAAATAGAAGGAAGAGGATGTTAGTCTTTTTTTTTTTTTAAAGAAAAAAGACACACCATCACCGCCATGGAGTTGATGCTGGCTCACAGCGACCCCGTGGGACAGGGTAGAACTACCTCTGGGAGTCTCTGGCATTTTTAATCTTTATGGGATCTTTTTTCACAGGGCATGGCTGATGGTTTCAGCTAGCTTCTAACCCACAATGCTACCAGAGTCACTGCCATCAATTCCATTGTGACTACCAGTGACCCGATAGGTCAGACACTCAGACACTCAGAGGGTGTCTGAGACCGGAACTCTTCACAGGTGTAGAAATTCTCATCTTTCTCTATGGAGTAGTGGGTAGTTTCAAACTGCTGACCTCATGGTTAGCAGTCCTACGGGTAAGCACTACTCCACGAGGACGCTAGTCAAATCAACTGCAGGTAACAGAATGTGTGTATGTGTGTGTGTACATGACTCAATTATTCTGTACACACATGAGGAGACTCTTCTAAGGGTTATGGAAATGTGAGTTCCCACCATTCTAGGACTTGAGACCCTCAATCCTACATGGCGTAAGTCAAAGACACCTCGCAGACACCTGACTCCATCCGAAAAACAAAAGTGATTCAAATATCCAGTTCAGAATAGTCGCACAACATGGTCAATGTTTTAGGATGGGCGAATTGTACATTTTAAAAAATGTTTAAAGCAATTGCAGGGGGAAGACCAACAGCATTTAGGAACTGCCGAGCCTGGGGAGACACAGCTTGACCATACAGGCTATGCTGGGGAGATGGCTTTACCGAAAGATGATGTTCTCCAAGTCAAAGGGGTACTCGATGATGCCAGTTGTGGGCACTCGGACTCGAAGCACATCCTGCTGTGTTGGCACGAAGGATGGCATGGCGATTCTGTCAATGTCAGTCAGGTAACTGGGTCACAGAGAGAGAAGGGCAAGGTGTCAGCCTCAGCCACAAGGACACCCTCCCTCCACACTACATTGATTCACTGTGTCCAGCAAAGGTCCTCTCTGGAGAGTCAGCTCTGGGCAAGGGCCTACCACCCCTGTTGTGGCTGCTCTGAAAAGAATACAGATAGAATCACAATCCGTAGGCGTCTGGGAATTTTGCAGTTCATACCCACCTCCCTCTTGATTCTAAACCTGGCCAATAGCAACCTATGTGACCCATGAGGGAGATGGCGAGCGGGAAAGAACAGGTTGTAGGCCCTGACATTCTCTGACTTCCCTGTTGTCTCTGTCCCTCCCCTACACCCTCAGAGAGAATTCCATGATCTGGATGTTGTTCTGTAATGCTTGTGCTCAATGAGCTAGTGTTTTCAAGAGGATCCACATAAAAACAGGCAAGAACCAAAGGCAAACTCACTGCCATCGAGTGGATGCCTACTCAGAGTGACCCTATAGGGCAGGGTAGTAGTGCCTCTAGTTTCGGAAAACCCCATCTTTCTATCCTGGAGTGGGCCATCCATAAGGTCAGTAGCAATGTGCACCAGTTCGCAGGCTCAGAAATCTTTTCAGCTGGTCGGGTTCTGGTCAACTCAATGTGAGCCACCGCACCAAGGTGCCCATTAGCTGCCTTGCTTTTAGACCATGGGCCCCATCACAAATTCTCAACAACCCTAGTCCCCTTGTGTTTTGGTCATGAACTTCAGACCAATCAACCCACTATCATTTTCTCCTCTAGTCCCTGTGAACCAGGTCCATGGGTGTCACTGGCCAGAATCAACCTGTCTCTTTGTTGCTGTGTTTCCTCCACTTCCACTCAACAAGTGGATCCAGATGGTCACCTAGCAAGCATTTCAGCCTGCTCACAGGCTCTCTTTAATGTTCAGCCTTAAGAGTGGATAGTACCTTCAATGGCTCAAAAATATTTTTTTAGCTTCTGGAACAAACCACTAGTTCAAAATTCAAAAATCCAAAGAGTTCCTCTTTTTCCCTTCAGTCTGTCGACAGCCCCTTAATGTTGCTGATCCTGACTTGTAACATGTTAGCTTCCATAGTAGAACTCATAGTCATGAGTATTATCTGTAAGTTGCGTGGAGCCACTGCGAGGAATTACACTCAATAGAGGAGTAGCGTGCCATTAGGAGGGCAGTTGGTGTAAGAGTGGGATAAAGGAACTTGGAGAGTAGAGAGAGGCGTGCTTGGCCTCTGCCTTGTGCAAACCAGAGTCAGGGATTATCAGCTCCTTACTGAACCTGAAGAAGGTCAGACATGACACTCATGCCCTTTCCTCAGTGAGCAGGATCATAATTCTACACAATTCTGAGCATCTACCAGTCACTTTACACGCACTTGAAGCTGTGGTTGCTGGTTGGGTTACACAATGGGTGACTAACTGCAAGGTTAGCAGTTCAAAGCCACCAGCTGTGCTGCAGGAGATAGATGAGACCGTCTGTTCCTGTAAACAGCTCTAGTCTTGGAAACCCACAGAGGCAGTAATACTACGAGTCAGAACTGACTCAACAGCAGTGAGTTTGGTTTGGGCTTTATACATGCAATTTCACCATCCTAAAAATAGTAATACACCGACCTTCTTTTATAAGACCAAGAATCAGAGAAGTTCAATTGTTTTGCATGGAAAAAGAAAGAAAAACAGCAGGAAATGGAGAGGCAAGCGACATCACCAAACCAGTATTTTCTAAAGCACAGGTCAGCAAATGTTTTCTGTGAAGGGCTGGAGAGTAAATCATATTGAACTTACGAGCCACTTACGGTCTCTGATGTGATGGCTCAGCGTTACCGGGTAGTTCAAAAGCACTGGCAGACAATGCAAAGATAAATGGGTCTGGCTATGATCCAATAAAACCTTGTTGATAAAACCCTGCTCTAGATGATGGGAAAGCAGCGTGAGCAAGGCAGGCGGACTTCCAGCTCTTGCTGGGCTCAGACTCCAGTTAGGGAGCTGCATGTAAGCACACAAGCTGGTTGATGGGCTTCCTCATGCCCATACACATTTCTTCACTGCGGTACCACACTTGTCCATTTGTGTTTGTCAGGCGCCCCAATCATGCTGTCTCACACAACTACTGTGTGCTTCAGGAGTTCCAATCCTAAGCATATACCCCCAAAGAAGCAAGAGCAGGAACACAAAAATGAGCACACAAATAGTCACTGCAACACTATGCCCATCAACAGAATGCGGCGTATCCACACAAATAAAATAGTACCCACACCCCTTGCTCTTGAGTGCAATCCAAGTCACATCTTCCCCTTGGGGCTTCTCAGGGCGGCATCTTCACTGAAGCTAGCTGCTACCTTTTTGTTCCCCTTCAGTGACTGGTGGGCTCCAGCCACAATCTTTCAGCTCACTTCCAAGCACTTAATCACTGAGTCGCCAGGGCTCCTAGTGAAATGCCACTCGGCCAGGAAGAGACATGAAATCTTGACATGTGAATGAACTTTGAAAACTTCCTAAGTGAAAGCAAACCCAAACCACAGCAAACTTACTGTCATCGAGTCATGTCTGGCTAGGGACCCTACAGGACAGAGGAGTACTGCT